CCATGGGGAGACCCAGGGAGCAGAGCACTGCTGCCTCTTGTCTTTGCTGGAAGCAACCTGCTCCATTTTGCTGCCTGGGTCTCTCTTTGAGGTCCCACAAGCCGAGAGGTCACTTCCGTTGTTAAGATGGGAAATGGCTGTAACCCCATTGACTACTGAACTGCACTGCTACAGGATTGGGAAAGGTATAAGACCTTTTGGGAGAGGAGTAACTTATGTGCTGGGAACGATTCTGGAAACAATTCTGGAAGTAAACTTGAGCTGTTTTGTACATTTGTGCTGCTCCTGGTTGGTTTTACTTTCTCAACCGCACAGGCAGAGTTGACCCTGTAAGGCACTGTGAGCTGCTAAGTCTCTAGCACACTCCCTGAGTCAGCTGGGAGGAGATGCAGGCATGGTAAGGGGAAGGGGGGTGATCTGCAGTGAAGAGATGGGTTCATCTGCTCTGCCATCTCACCTTCCACAACTGCCACGTTTCAAAGTTCCCTCCTGCCACACTTCACCACATTTGAGCCGGTTCACAAATTAATTGTTGGCCATGGTGTATGTCTGTCCCCTCATCCATGGCAAGGGTTTATCTTCTTTCCCAAGAAAAAGCTGCTCTTGCTCCCAGCTTCTATTTGAAGCATTTTGAAACCCCTCCACCTGCTCGCCCCTCTGCTGCAGCACAAGAACCATAGAACCATAGAATCACTTAGGTTGGAAAAGACCTTTAAGATCATCAAGTCCAACCGTTACCCTAACCCTGCCATCCCACCACTAAACCCTGGCCCTAAGCACCTCGTCTGCCCAGCTTTTAAATACCTCCAGGGATGGGGACTCGACCCCTTCCCTGGGCAGCCCCTTCCAGTGCTTAACAACCCTTTCTGTGAAAAAATTTTTCCTAATGTCCAATCTAAACCTGCCCTGGCACAACTTGAGGCTGTTTCCCCTCACCCCATCGCCCATTACCTGGGAGCAGAGCCCAACCCCACTGGCTCCCCCCTCCTGTCAGGCAGTTGTAGGGAGCGATAAGGGCTCCCCTCAGCTTCCTCTCCCCAGGCTGAACACCCCCAGGTCCCTCAGCCGCTCCCCATCAGCCTTGGGCTCCAGACCCCTCACCAGCTTCGTTGCTCTCCTCTGGACATGTTCCAGCAAGACAAGATCCTCCTCGGTGTCATTTCTGCACATCTTCCTGACAGCTCCCCTGCACCCACGGTATGCCCAAAGCTTCAGGGAGCCTCTGGGCTCAGCAGACCCAAGTGCTGAGCTGTGGCCAGCTGGGCTCTGCTGGTGGGCAGAGCTCTGGGCTGGGAACGCAGGAACACTGGCACCGCTGCACTCTTCAGTTATTTTCATAAAATACAAGGTACTGCCTTGCTGCAGTTCACACAGAGCAGCGAGAGGACGCTGGCGGTGCTGCTCAGCCTCCAACAGAGCTGTTCCCAGGGGTACGTCCTTTGCATCTCAGTTGTGGCTTTTGTGATAGGAACAGACAACTGCCTGCAAGCAGCTAAACAAAGCACAAGGAAATCATTAGAAGAAATATTCCCCAGAATCAAAGCAAAGCACAGCCAGAGGTCCTTTAAAAGCTTCCGCTTGAACAGAAAGACCATAAAAACCCTGTTGCCTCCTGTCCTGCACAGAACAGTCTGTTCCCGCCCGCTTGGGATTAACTTTCCCTTCCCTACTGGAGCTGCCCTTCTCTTTGCAACTCCTTACGGATCCACTCCACTGGATGGCTCCATGCAGCCTGCAGAGCTGCCAAAATAATGATCCCTCTCTGTCCCCGCTTGCTGAGAAGGATGTCATGGGGCTGGGAACTCACGCTGCTTACAGCCACAGGACTGCAGCTGCAGCTCCACCAGCCAGGCTTCAAGTGCAAAAATGAGTTTCTTTACAGAAAACTAGAACCACAGCCAAATGAAACCCGAGCGAGCATGCAGCTCCTGCAGCAGCACAGGGGCAGTGGGACACAGCCTTGGAGTCTTGGGCATGAGGGTCCACGTTGCAATTTGCAGAAGGGTTTGGAGACCTAAAGTTGTTTTGGGTTGGGTCCGGGATAAATCCCACAGCCTGCAACCATCAGCATGGGCCAGAGCAGCTCAGAGTACCCAAGGTCCCCCCAGCCCAGCTCCTCAGGCGAAGCCTGCATGCCACGGGCATTAGGTGGGATCTGGCAAAGCCCCCCCGAGCGCCGAGGCCAGCATCCATGGATACAGCTGGCACCGCAAGCCAAACAAGCCAAAAATAGTGCAAAAAACACAGCACTGCTGCAAACCTGGCTGTCACCTCTGCAGGCAAAAAGGTCCCTGTGCTGAGGATGATGAGGGCAGCCTAGGCTGGGGCCAGCTGGGAGCCACCACAGGCAAAGGGTGCTGGAGCTGGCATCAGCCAAAGGCTTCAGGGCCATTCCCGTGAGGAACCAGGAGTTTAAACAGCCTGTAACGAGTTCCGCCCGGAGTAACAGCAGCAGAGGAGAGAAACCATCCCGGGATGGATTCACGCCTGCCAGGCTATCACAGGAGTCAGTCTTACCATATCCACCAAATGTGCAGACCAGCCCAGCAGAAAACCCTGCAGGAAATGGGGGTGGCCCTGCAACCATGGCCGGGTGGGTTTTAAACAGCTGGGAAACCCAAAACCTTAGCGTTCGGGGTTTTTTTCCTGGGCTATTTCTCTCCCTTCCCTGCACGGCCTCCTTGGGAGCCCATCCAGAGGTGGGCACGGCTGAGCTGCACTTGGTAACCTGCTGCTGGGTGGCTGCAGACAGAAGGTGTGGCAATGAAGGCATGGACCCCGAGTTCATGCACAAGTGCAAGCAGCATCAGGATCACTTTATTTTACACTTTATATCCTTTTATACCCATCCCGAAACAAAGCCTCTACTTTTCTCTTATCACCTTGCTATCTGGCAAGCACCGAGTCCAAGCCTTATATGAAAGCAAAGTTCATCTTGCAAGGTCCATTGATCGCAGCATTGACCTTGTTTTTCACTCAGCTCTTGTTCAGTTATCCCATGGCTCAAGACTGACAAGGCCAAGGATATCTCCGGTGTCTGGCTCTGCCGCCACACCTGCAGATTCTGTACTTGTTCCCACAAGAAGGGCTGGAGCTGGAGTGCTCACAGCAGCCTGGGCTTTGCTGCCAGCCCAGGGACACTCAGCTGGAGGGCTGCCAGCAAGCCACGCCAAAAATAAGTGCTTAAGGGGAGAGACCATGGAGCCATCTCTGCTCTACATCTGCAAGGCAGCACCAGTGCCTGGGCAATGGGTGGTGCACAGGGCTGCAGGTGCCCACCCTACTACAGCACGGAAAACTGGGGCCCTGTGGGGCTTGACAGGGCTAAGTCAGCAAGAAAACTGCACTGCCATGTGTGGCAAGGAAGCAGAATGCAAGCAAGCCTAAAGATAGTGTGCAATGGAAAGCAAGAAAGCATGGACTCAGCGTGCCACACAGCGCAAACGCTGTGAGCATGCAAACAGCGTGCAAGGACGCACGCCAACTGCAAGCAAAGAACAGCGTGCCAACGGCAAACGTCCGCAGGCAAGAAAGCACGCAAAAAGCAGGCCACTCTACAGAGAATCACGCAAGCTGCACGCAAAAACGCAGAGCCCTGCAACCAGCAAGAAGGCAGGCGGGCGGCCT